GGGGGGGGGGGGGGGGGGGGGGGGGGGGGGGGGGGGTTCTGGATAATACGGCTGATGGTCTTGTTAAATCCCTTGTCAGTCTTTGAAACACAGCAGTAACCCAGGCAATTGACACAATTACCCCTGAGCACCCTTTCTATAGTAGGACTTATACACCTCTGTGGTATATCTTGGAGCTGAGAATGATGAAACAAAGCAGGAGACAAGCTTGAGTGCAAATGGAAGAAATATCCTAATGGTTGCAATCAAGCCCTGGTATGTGCTTGTAGTGAAGTATACTTAGAGGCAATTAGAGCAGCAAAGAAACATCTCACTGCTTCTATTCAGTCCTCCATTTACCATCCAGTGGAGCTTTCTAAGGTCATCTGGGGCCTACTACATGTTGGCCCTGAGGACATCTTAGAGCTATCAGAAGCCCCCTGCAATGTATTTGCTAGGCACTTTCAAGATAAAACCTCTTGTATCTGCCAAGGCTTAGACTCCAAAGTTATTGTAGTTGGACTGTGGATATCTCACCTGATTCATCTTGGTGAAGTACTGTTGGAATGAGTTCCAGCTAGTACAGCTTGACAATATTGTCAACGGGCTTGGAAAATTTTGTGTGACCAAATCTGTTTGTGCGATTCTTGCTCCTCTTAGCTTATAACATCTAGCAGAGAAGGAACAGCCAGCTGGGCCAGGGAGATAACTAATGTCTCTTTATGGGAGGTAGTGGTCCCATGCCACCTGAAAGAGGTAGTATTGAGGCAACTCCTGAAGAAGCCCTCCCTGGACCCAGGAGATCTCAAAAATTTCAAGCCAGTGGCAAATATCCCCTTCCTGGGCAAGTTTCTTGAGCAGATGGTGTCCAACCACTTCCAGGCACTCTGGACACCTTTCCATTGGGAATTCGGTCTGGGGTTCAGCACAGAGATTCCCTTGGTCACCCTGCATGATGACCAAAACCAAGAGAGAAGAAGGAGAGTGTAAGCATGTTGGTAATCTTGGATATCTCATTAGCTTTTGATACCGTCCACCATGGTATCTTTCTGGGGCTGCCGGCTGAGTCAGGAATAAGAGATATTATATTACAGAGGATCCACTCCTGCTTGGATAGCTGGATACAGAAGAGAGTGCTGAGGTGATATTGAACTCTCTAAGATGTGGTTCTACCAGGTGGATTTTGCGCCCCATGTTATTTAGTATTTACAGGAAACTGCTGAGCAGAGGTATCTAGAGTTTGGATGTCACATAGCTCTATTTCTCCTGTCCTGAGGATGTGGATGTGCTAAACGGATGCTTGGCTGAGACAATAGGTTGGATGAGGGCTAACAAACTGAAGCCCGATCCTGACAATATTGAGATGCTGTTAGTGGGCACTCCTTCTGACCAGATGGAAGGAATTCAACCTGTTCTGGATGGGGGCTGTATTCCCCTGAAGGAGTGGTTCATAGTTTGGGTGTCCTTCTTGAGTAATCTTTGTCTCTTAAGGCTCAGGTAGCCTTAGTGACACAGTGTCTTCTACCAGCTTCAGTTGGTGGCCCAGCTACTCTCCTATCTGGACAGGGACAGCTTGTGCAAAATGCAGCAGGCAGATTAATAACAGGAACCAGAAGGTCCAAATGTGTAACACCCATTCTGGTCTGCTTGAATTGGCTGCCTATATGCTTCTAAGCCCAAGTCAAGGTGCTGGTTTTAATTTATAAAGCCCTACATGGTTTGAGGTCACGTTGCCTGACAAAATGCCTCTCCTAGTCACAATCTACTCACAAACTGCGATCAAGATCTGGGGCCTGCCTCCCAAGGAAGGCTTGGTTGGTGGCAACAAGGAAAAGGACCTTCTCAGTGGCAGCCCAATTCTGGAACAAGCTCCCCACTGAGACCCACCAGGCACCAACTCTAATATCTTTTCAGTGTCAGCTTAAGACTGCCTGCTACAGCAGGACATTTAATTAGTTTTATATTGTATTGGGGAATTAAGTCAACTGTTTAACAGTACTTGTGATTTAATCTGTTTAAGCTATTGTTGCTTTTTAAATTTGGTTGTAAATTTGACTTTAAATTTTGTACTGTAATTTTTACAATGTTTTTATTGCTGTCTGTATTTTATATTTTATCTGCCACTGCATACTGCCCAAAGAACTTCAGCTAATGTTTGCTATAAAAACATTAATAATATTAAGGACAAACATAGTTGTTATCTAATCTGTCCTCAAAAAAGCAATTTGTATAAAACTGAGTAGTTCCAGAAAAGCCAAAATTATGATGCTTTAGCTTGCTCTACAGTGGGAATCATTGACTGAAAGACATTTTGTGATTTTGTAAATTACACAGGTTTTTTCTTCAGTGACGGACATCATTGATTTCTTCAGAAGAATGCCTCTTCTTCTGATAGATGGAAAGGATCAATGTTCAAAGAAGCAATGCACATTAACATATGCGGCTGAAGTGTTTTAGAAGACACATTCAGGAAAAACTGGTTCAATTCCACCTTATTTATCTTTGAAAAATGAATGAATGCTCTCAGTTTTAAATTCCACCCCCCATCCACATACAGATGTTTGTCATTTGCATGCATGTGACACCCAATTGTCTGAAAAATACAACTGAAAAAAATAGGACTAAGACTATTTTAGTACAGTTTTCTTCAAGTGGAAAGACTTCTTACCAATTAATAAATTTTACTACATGTATAAATTTTACTACAAGCTTACAATACCAAATACACTGAGCTGAGGATATCTTAATGCAGAGGAGGGTAAGGGAAGGCTCTCCAGATGTTCCACTGCAACTCATACTATTCATCATTATTGCTATGCTGGTTAAGGCTAAGGGGAGTTGCTGCCCAACATCTAGAAAGACGCACACTTCCCACCTCTGGCTTAATGTGTTTTGAATTTTCAAGCACAGCATGCATGCTGTTTACTGTGTATCTTGTATGGTGACACCAGCACATTGTATATTTGCATTTACAGATAAAGTATGCATTTTGGATCCATTTTTCCACTACAAACTTTGTTCTCAGGTCATAGAATATCGGTTATATCCTATACCAGTATTTATATTCCTTCAGTCTATTGCCTAGAGTTCACAAGCATCAGAATGATATACCATTAAGTTCAGGTAGTTGTTATCCTTACCTACCAGCAGCCATACTTTCAATGCAACTGCCATCACAGGCCAAGATCCAGCTAAATTTAAGACTGTTAAGTCCCATGGATTTTAATGCTAGAAAAATCCCTATCTTTGTCCAGTTGTACCTGTGTCTGGAAAGTACCTTTGTTGTAAAACTGCTTATTGCACACTGTCAAATTTAAACTGAAGTATTGTCCTTTTATTATTGATACTAATAAACAGAATGCTGAAGTAACTCCTAAATCATCACCATTTTAGTAGTAAGAAAAGCCACAGCATAGCTTACAAAACACAACCATTGTCATTTAAAAAAATGTGTACTGTAGCAAGATAAAATGAAAATGAGCCAATAATTATTTATTATGCATAATAACATTTTTTTTTAAAATCAAGGACATAATCCCATGCATGTTTAGACCGAAAAAAGCTCTACAACTCCGAGGATGCCCTAGGCAGCATCCTGGCTGTAAGACTTGATCTTGTCTAAACATGCAATGGATTTGTTTGATCTTTGAATTGCATGTTGCAATGCAAAGAATCAATTCATAAACATGGATGCGGTCTCCTTTCAGTGATAATGGCAACAGTGGAAAACAGTCCAGATATTTCAAGTGGCGGCCAGGATGCTGACAGGGACCAGTCGTTATTCTCATATAACACCAGTCCTCTACCAGCTACACTGGCTCCCATTTGAAGTCCAGGCCCAATTCAAGGTGTTGGTTTTGACCTATAAAGTCCTGAATGGTTTGGGACTGGGATACCTGAAGGATCACCCCCTTCCCTATATGCCCTCACGCCCCTTAAGATCAGCGAGGGAGGCCCTACTCCCTGAAGGAGGTAAAAAGGCCATATACTTGGAGTAGGGTTTTCTCTCTGGTGGCACCCAGATTATGGAATGCACTCCCCAGAGAAGTTTGCCTGGCACCTAGCTTATACTCTTTTCAGCATCAGGTCAAAACCTTTTTATTTAACCGGTATTTTAAAAACTATTATTAATGTAACAGTTGCGTTTTATGGCTTTTACCACTTGGATTATTTTAATATATGTAATTTTATTGATTGTTTTAATGTTTTGACTATGAGCCATCCCGAGATGCCTTGCATGGGGGGACAGCATGCAAAAGTTTTAAACAAACAAACAAACATTCAGCCACCATACTAAAGTTTGAAATGAGAAACCTCCAGTCCCTATGGCCCTATGGGGGTTCTCCACTGCATCCTGACCTGGTTTCCTAAAGTCAAGGCAAGCATTCCAATAAAACCCTTTATTGCAGCAATTCTAATAATAAGCTATTGATGTTCACAAGAGAATACAACAAAGAATGCCCCAGGCAAAAGTCCAGTAAGGCAAATACCCACCACAAAATGCAGCTCCCCAGGTATATCTCACAAAGCTCTTAAATCCAAAGGTGGGGAGCTTTCTAGATTTTCAGCACACTGTCTCTTACAAGGAGTACTGTTTAAATACAGAGGAATGGCTATTAAGGATTATTGCTGGCCAGTAGATTCTGAAAAGGAACCCTGTCCCTCAGACCTGTCCCATTTCTTCCCCTTCCTCTTTTGTTGATGACAGACCAAAGGATACCCCCAAAGCATTTTTGCCTGCAGAGACCCCTTCCGCCACCCTGCTCCCAGGGCTTATGTCCCTGGCTAACAAGAAGGCACCTTCCTCAAAGCCAGGGTTGGCCACAGACCCTTCAGGACCTCAGCAGTGGGAGGCCTGGGAGAATCAGTCCTCAGGTACTGGTTACTCACAGCTGAGCCTAACAGCTTTTCAGAGTTAAATTCCATGTTGGAAGCAAAAGCTCCCTCCAGACTGGGGCAAGTTCCCACACAGAGCCCAGCAGCTTCTCCCTCTGGCCTGCCCCCCTACCATGCTCTCTTCTCTCATCTCCACACTTATCTCCACATTTTTCCCTGCTTCCCACTGGGGTAGGAATCTGCTTGGTTGAACCTGAGAAGTGTGGGAGAAGGCTGGGTCTTTCAGCCCTGCCCACCATTGGAGCAGAGACCTAAAGAAACTCTACAAGGTAGACTCTGAACCTGTGGCAGAAAAAGGTTCCCCAACCCTCGCCTAAGTATGATGTGAATAAACCACAACAAGCCCTGAACTTGTGGGCTCTCAATTTCCTTCCCTTCTTCCTGTGGATTTCAGAAGGGTTTAGAAACTTTGCTCTCATGTTTGTTTAACAATGGTATACTATACAGGCCTATAAACGGTGATAAACTGTGATTAATATTAACCTTGGTAAATTTAAAAGAAGTATAACTTCAAATATAGTATGAAACTGGCTTGCATATGTTAAACATAGTTGATGTCACCCTCATTTCTGGTTAGGCTTTATGCATGATTGCGATACCGTCCACCTGGCAAATGTCCTTGGAGGGGTTCCCAGTAACTCTGACATGTTGGGAGAAGAAAAGGGAGGGAGAATGCGTGAGCTGAAGGTTCAGTGCAGTTCATTCATATTGCACTAAAGCATAGATCAGCATGATATCAAACACAGGCACTAAACTGTAAAATGCCCAGAGCAAAGGATGTTTTACAAAATTTGAAATACATTAGACAGGTTTGAAATTAGTTTGTTCCACCCATCTACTCCTTAGGAAAATAACTAGGAAAACTTTTTTTTTTTTTTTTTAGCCCACAGTTCTTTCAAAAAAACCTTTACATTGACAAATATCAAAACAAATCACAGTACTTTGTAATTTTACCTGCAACATTATCAGTGAATTTGGATCGGATTTACCTGAACTAATTCTGTATTATTATATTAGCGAAACTATCTTTATGCTTTGGTAAGACAAGGTACTGAATGTATATTTTGGATATAACACAGCCTGAAAATATATTTCAAAAGTAGACACTCGTTTTGCATCAAGGAAAATTAGAGCACAAGGGGTGAATAAAGCTTTTCATGCATAGTTAAGTGGTGCAAGGGATGAATTCACTGCTGCATTATTTGCAGTAAACTAATACAATTCTTAAACGAAAATGAAGTTTAAGGTTATACCTTATAATATATACATCCAATACTCAACTTGTAAAACTCTGAAAAATGAAAAGACCTTATGCTTAGTTAATGTAAGTAATGCTAGCAGCATAAAAATATCTTAGTGACCCAAAGAAACCTACAGCATGTCATTCAAAACCTCAGTTGCAGACACACTTTGTAAAAGTGGTCCAAGTGAGCATTATGATGAAGACACATTAAAAGTTAGCAAGTTCTGTCTTTATTTTCCACTTTTGCCATTTTAAATCTCATAAATACTACTACTACCAATGAGAACAAAAATAAATGGAACTAACAGTTTGGAGTTTGATCTTCTTGGTTCTTTTCCACAGATTCTCTTGAAGTATCACTTTGTACTGGATGAGTAAAGTTCAGAGTAAGATCACAAAGCAGCAGCTGGGTTTTGACTGTAAAATAATATTAGTTTGATCTGTTAAAAGTTATATCCTGCTTTTCCACGTGGGATGTCTAAGGATGGTTACAGCATAATCCTATGCATGTCTACCCAGAAATAAGCCTCTCTGAATTCAGTGGCGCTTATCTTCAAGAAAGTGCAAATAGGATTGCAACAGAAGGCTGCAGTTGTATATTCACTTACATGGAAAGATCCATTGAAGTCAGCACTTCTGCCTAGATTTGCACAGGATTGCACTATTAGTAGTTACATAGCAATGTGAAGTATTTAAAACGTTTCAAATATCATCCCCACACTTTACAGCCCTGTGAGGATTGTTATCCCCATAAAGCAAACTGGGAGTGGGGCTAAGTAGGAGTAGACAACATTACAAGCTCGTGGCAGATTTGAACCATTCTCAGGCAAGCAAGCAAATGCAAACACAAGAACAGCACCCATTATAGAGATTAGGTTCTATCCGATGCCATTTCCCTTGTGCCTGCTGCACAATGGCCACTTTGGGGGCAATCCTATCACCACTGTCCTTGATGCACATCGGCCTCCTCACTCAGAGGTTTACATGCATCCAGTGCCTGGCATAAGGAGCAGTGATCTTCACCACCACCACCACCACCACCACCAGTCCTTGCACTCTCTATTTCATCTAGATGGCTTTTTTCCTCTCTGAAAAGAACTGGGGAAGGAAGCAAGCTATGGATTTGGTATAAGCCATCAGCTCCAGCCTCCTCCCTCCTCACTCCCTGGCTGGCACACCTATCTCCCCGCTTTCCAGTTGTTTCTCCACCAGCTGTGGCAGATGATGGGCAGAAATTGGCTCAACCTTCAGAAGTTCAGCACCAAATCTGCAGGACCTCAGAACAGGGATGCCAAATACTCCTATGGCCTCCAGACAATGTTGAGAAACCATAAATAAAATAATCTACTCCCCGGTTTTCAATTAAAAATACACTTAAAACATGGGGTTGTCTATATAAAAGTTACTCAGCATGTCTAGATAGCACAGTCTTGACATTCATGAACCTCAATTCTAAATTCAGATACATGTATGCCTATTAAGAATTATACCCTGCTGTGTTTAATGTCAGTAAAGGCACAGTCCTGTATAAGTTTAGGCAGAAAGAAAGCTTACAACTCCCAGCATGCTGGCCTTCTTTCCATCTAAACTTGCTCCTTACAAGCCACAGCAAAAGCCAGACAGTTGAAATCAGCCATCTAAATCTTTTGCAGGGTGGGAGAAGTACAGAGGCAACTATTACTCCCATGCTTCTCCTACCCCCAGCAGCATGTCCAGGCAGCCATATTGGATCGTGCTGTTATGCATTGCACACACATGTATATACTTATTCATGTGTATTTGCACGCACATGTGTGCATGTGTGCCCTTTGGAGTAACTTTCTTTGTTCTAATAATAGTGCTATAATAGTGATCTAAGACAGTAATTACCAATAAATTTATTCAGTTCAGTTGATATTTTATCCATATTTTTAATTGCACTCTCAATAGTAAATTGCTGGTCAACATTCTTGGACATCTGAAAAGACACACATGAAATCAGAATAAGGCCTTAGGCTACCTTGCTAAAGTTTTCCTTCCTCACACTTGTACATCCTTAAAGGATCACTTGTTCAAAGCTTTTAGGAAAAAAAGATGAAGCAGGACAAAATAAGAAAAACAGCTTTCTCTTAATCTACAGCTATAAAGTCCCTTGGGTTCATTTAAAATATAAATGCCATTATTTTCAGCCAGAAGCATATATTCCCCTAGTACAAATTCACAACTTAAGGATACATTTTTCAAAGGAGAAA